GCTCCAGGGACATACGAGGGAACAGCGGATTGTCCTGTCTCTTATACACATCTAGATGTGTATAAGAGACAGATATTCGCCCCCGCTTCCCCTTCTCCCTGCTCATCGGTTCTCCTCCCCCCCCGGTCCCAATCGCTCCCCCTCCCACACCACGTCGGAAGCTCGTCTCCGCGAGTATCCTCTCTCCCTCTCCCCCACCCCACGTCGGACTGTATCCCCGATCCCGACGTCCTTGCCTCTTTCCCCCCCCTGGCCCAGATTCGTCCCGTCCCCCTCCCACTCCACGTCGGATGCTCACCCGATCCCGTCGGCCTTGATTTCCTCCTCCCGCAAGCCACTCCCCCCTCGTAACCCCGATCCCGACACGCCCCCAATTCCTGACATGCTCCTCTCCACGAGTATCTTCTCTTCCCCTCCCGATCGCCTCCCCCGCACTCCACATCTGAATGCATCCCGATCCCTGACACACCCCTCCCCGTGGGCATCTCCTTTCCCTCCCACTCCACAACGGACGCTTGCCCGATCCCGTCGGCCCTGAGCCCTTCCTCCCACAAGCCGCTTTCCCCTCAAAATCCCGATCCTCGACCCACCTCCTCGACTCTTGGTCCCTCTCCCCGACCATCTCTTCCACCACCCACCTGGTCCCTGACCCGATGTGGGCGCCCTTGATCAAACCTTGCGCCACCCCCCCACGTCCCCCCTCTTCTACCTTGCTCCCTCCAGATACTACCCCTCCGGTGGTTACACCCTCCCACAACCTTGCACTCTCGCGCAGTGGCATTCTGACACTTCCCTACACTTCCCTACAGACATGGCTAGCCTTAAGAATGAAGCTAGGAAAAAACAAGGAAGAGACCAATCACGAATGATTTGGTACCAGGGAGCCAAGCGACATCACACGACTAATTGGAACTGGAGACCCCGGGGGGGGAAAGAGAGAATGGAGATGGAAACTAGGGGAGAAGCTTCCTCCTCATCCCAACCCTCCCTTTTGGATCACACAGATGTCTTGCAGTCCCGTTCATACCTCTCTCCGGCTGAACGATTGAAGGACGTGCAGGAAACAAAGGAAGGTCAATCTCACCCCTCATGGGCTGACAAACTCAAGAAAGTATACTTTGGTCAAACCCTGTCAGTTAAAAGAAATGGGGATGGGGAAGGTAATCTGGAAATTCCCCTGGATAACATAACCACAGCCTCAGCTTTCTTTCTTGCAAAATTTCTGGCCAACCCAGAAGACAAAATCATCAGTCAGGGGGCGAAAAAACACAGGGTTAAGACCCTCCCCAATAGCATGATCAAGGAAAGGGATGAAATTTACACCCGCCATGCAAACACCTGGGTCTTCTATGATGATGCGGCATATAAGTCGGCCAACGACAAGGTTGGTTGGATCAGGAAGCGTCTTGCAATCCTTAAAGGATCAGAGGAGGGAGCACGGGACTTCGTCCTGATCCAACCCATCTATCTCTTCGACGGTCTTTACCGTGATCTGCATGTTCGACTCGGATAAGCGGATCCTAGACTCATGGCGAAGTATACCCTGCGGACGTTCAAAAGTCCGGATCTTCCCCTAGTCTCCCCTCAAACAACAAAAATTGGAGGAGAGGCGGGAACAATTGATGACTGACTACTATTGGGTGGAATTCCGCCATGTTCCCGTCGAGATCCAAGGAGCCTTCGTGCAGGAACTCGCCCAAAAGTACGAGATCATTGATTTCATTGATCCCCTCCCCCCCCACGTAGCCCCTAGGGACGACTATCTCATGGTGACCCTGGACATCCCCAACGGCCACATTTTTACCATCGACAATGTCATTTTTTTCCGAGCGGGGGGGAGAGACTTCAGAATACACACAGCACACAAAACACGACCTTGGTGTTTCAAATGCCAGGCATACGGACACCTCCCCCTGGAGACTGACTGTCCCCACCATCCGGCAAAAAGAATCAGATCAACGGGCCGCCTGTTGCACGACCCGATTAATGACACCTGGTGGAGGACAGTCGATGCAGGTCACGAAGGATGGGTCTACGTGGATGAGCCCCGAGAGGCAGGAGGAGTAAGGGGGTGGGAATGGGAAAAAGGCGATGCAGTGAACTGGATCACGAAGCCTCCAGACCAATGGATCCCCCCTAAATCGGTGGAGGCGCACATGGAAACGACCACGACACCCTTACAACCCCCATCCCCAAAGGACGCTACACAACTCAATGGTCAGTCCACCTTAGACCACCAAACACAAGAGGGGTTGAGCCCCGGACGCAGCCCCGGACAGAGCCCAGACCCCAGGATTTCATCACCCCGGCTAACATGGGGGAACTGTGGCAAACTCCGTCCTCAAAGAAAAAACCTTCCCCAGACAAACGAGGTAAATTGCCACATAAACCGAATAACCCTGAAACTGTTAGCCAATTTCAGGTGCTGGCAGGAGATAAAATACAGCAGTTGGGGGAACCTCGGCTTCACGAGCCTCCCCAACAAAGGACAGAAGGAGGGGAAGACAAGGGACAGGAAACGCAGGAGATCCTAGGTGAGGAATTTACCACACGAAGGATCAAGGGGGGAAAGGGGGGGAAGGAGGGGAGAAGGAAGGGGGAGGGGGAAGAAGGGATGACACAAAGACACGAAGAACAATCAACACTGGACGGGGGGGTCCACCAGGTGATTAGGCTGCACACCCAGGGGGAAGGAACAGCTAGGGACCCTACTCAGGACCTCGCCAAAACAGAACTCCCCCAAGTTCCCCAACCGCGTGATGTGGGAAAGACTAAAAAAGCAAGGGAAGGGGAAGAGGGGATGGGACAGAGACACAAGGAGCAATTGGCCGTGGAGGGGGCCCACCAGGGGATTGGGCTGTACACCCCAAGGAAGGAAACAGCTCGGGGCTCGACTCATGAACTCGCCAAAACAGAACCCTCCCAAGAAGCTCACACAGACCCCTTCTTCCAGGCTTTCGGACCTCATCCTATGGATTGGGAACCTTCGGCATTACCTAAGGACGAGGAAATGGCGGACAATACTCCAGAAGCCTGGGGATTGCAAGGGGAAGATATAGAGACCAGACTAAGGAATCTAGCAGAATGGCTAATCAGCCAGCTCCGGATCCTATACACAGGCCAAACAGAAACATATTGGGATCAACCATCCATACAACTTTTCTCCTTACTGAACGAAAGTCTGAGCCTGAAATTGGCTCTGGAGCAAGGTCTATCCATGGAAGCCGACTGACAACAGGCTTTGAACAGAATCTGGGTCATTGTGCATAGGAAATTCCAACCCCCCACCACCGCGGAAACACCCAGCGCATTCGAAGTAACGCGAGAGGCTCGGGAAGAACCTCCTCCGCACCCCCCGGACCAGCCCACCCCAGACAAGGGTACACAACAGGCTACACCTGACCCCCAGGCCAAACAAGGAGAGAAAGACACGGCAGAAGCAGAAGGAACAAACCTCTCAAAGTGGGCCGAATTACGCCACCTGATCGAAAAAGGTTTGTTCCACAAGAACCTACCAAAAGGGGATAGAGTGTCAGTATTACCAATCAGGAGAAAAAATGGGAAGTGGGAATTGGGTTTGTCACCCGCGGAGTCCGAAGACCCATATACCCCTGCTTATGGAGGAATGACACTTCACGGGTGGCACATGTAGCGGGAAGGTGCACTTAGGACTCATGAAGTCGTAGAGTTCATTGTGAGCCATTATGAACCGGGAGCAATGACCACCATTAGTATATCAACCGAAGGCCTGAAGATGGCATACAAGGATCTTTACGTGAGATTCGAGGAAAACAAGGAGGCGGGGCTACAATGGTGCACACACAATACGCTCCTAGACACCCAACAAATAAAGTTCAAACCAAGCAATATCTGGTCGGTTGATGAAGTACTAACATGCATCTGCACGATATTAAGGAAGAACATCCTCAATAGAGGGGTAAATTGGGAAGCACAGGAATGGGATGCAATTACCAAACGGATAAGGGAAGGTCAAGGGGCACACAATCACAATCAATGATGGATTAGGTAAATGTGGTGTATGGAAAAAACAAAGGGTGGAAACGCATCCTGCAACATGCAGACTTAGACATTAGAACAATCAATGTGAATGGTCTAGCATCCCGCAACCCGGAAAAAATCCAAAGCATTATGGGATTTGATGAGGGGTGTCGAGGGAAGATCATGGGCGACGTAGTCTGCATCCAACAGACCCATCTAATGGACACGCCAGAACACCACAGGGCCCACAAATAAGCTTGGCCCTTCCAAAGTTACCAAACATTTGCCCCTGGCCCCGGGAGCTTGGGGGTGGTAGTCTGGATCCCACCCGAATCACGACTGGAGGTTCCCTGTTGGGGATGGGATATGGAGGAGGGACGTTGGGTACAAATACTTGGCATGCTGGAACTAGAGATCGTATGCATAGTATCCATATATGCCCCTAATACGATCCGGAAAAGAAGGTCCTTTTTTGAAAAATTAGAAACAATCCCTACCTCGGAGGTCCCCCTAATACTAGCAGGAGATTTCAATGTTGCACCGGACAGACGGTTGGACCGATGGAAAGTTTCCCACTCCACAGCATACAATGCAGAGGAGGACGAGAGGATGATGAGGGACTTGTGCGCCCCTCTCTCGCTTTTTAACACATTCAGGCATAGCTACCCCACTGAACGAGCATTTACTTGCATCCAAAGCAACGACCCCACCTGATTCTCCAAATCCTAGATTGACATAATCTTGGCTTCGGAAGAGTTGGGAGGAGGGCACTCGGTGTCAGCAATATTACCAACAAGCCCACATCCCGGTCTCGATCACAGGATGTGCATGGCAGTGTGGACGTTTCGCAAACGACCAGACTAGGGGGCTAGCTACTATAAACTTAATACCTCCTTACTCGGAACCAACTCCTTCCAGGAATACTTAAAACAGGTTCGGGGATTTTGGAAAGAAACCCGCCCTCACCAATACTCGCAAATTACCTAGTTTAATAATGGGTTATTCTATTTGGCCAAAAATAGTAACGAATACTCCAAACACCTAGCTGCTCTAAGATACCAACAAAAAATTATAATTATGCAAAACTCAGGGAGTGCAGAACAGGAACAGAACTCGCAAGGGCGGGAACAGAGAATGGTCGAGCTTCAAATCAGCATACAGGAATATAAGGATCAATTATTTCAACATGCACAGTATCGATGGCAAGGAGCCCAAACCGGGACAAGATTCTCCAGACTCATCACCGAAGGAACGATGGACTCCAAGTTCGTCAACTTAGCAAAAACACAGGTCCAAAGAACCACGATAGAGGCGCTATATGAACCTAACGCCAGGGAATCAGACCCGGTTGTAACCACAGCCCGCGGTACAAAGATAACATACGACTTTTATAAAGATCTATTCTCCTCACATATAGACAAATTGGACTTGCCGCGACATGACCGCCTTATAAAAGAATTCCTGGAGCCACTGGAAAAACCGTTAACTCCCGAACAACAACAAACATTGGAGCCCCACTCTCCAAAGATGAGATATGGACCGCCCTTCTGCAGATAAAGGAAGAAAAGGCCCCTGGAATTGATGGTTTCCCTAAAGAATTCTGGGAAACCACGTGGGATTTCATGGGCCAAAACGTTATGGACTTCTACAATGAAGTATGGCGCAAACGGAAGATAGGAGAAAGGGTGGGGCAAGGGATACTAACCCTTTTGTATAAGAAAGGACATAAGATGGATGTCAGGAATTACAGGTCGATAACACTCCTAACAGTGGTGTACAAAATGTTGTCCATGACTCTGACAAATAGAATGATCCCGGTAATGGAGGACGTCATCCATCCCGCTCAAACAGGTTTTATGAAAAACCGAAACATACAAGAAAA